GACAAAATCCATGCAGGTTAGTATAGTTTTTGCTAGGAGCTTGATGTACCAAAAGCATCAAACTCCCTATTCAATCGAAATAACAGACCAAAAGCTAGAAAACATTTCATACCAAATACCAATCCTTGGTTGGCTAGGCTAGGATAGTTTTTGCTATAGAGCCAAACGCACAAGGGGTACCTTGATGACATTTTTCGAACAATACATGTTGCCTCGCAGACTTAGTCACACCACACAAGGGGGTGACAAAACCAAGGTTCCGGCAACGGCGGCACATGCCCTGTGCACACCATATCATGCTCTGGCTGCCCTATAAGTATCATCCATATCTAACATAGTCACAGCACAAGTCAAGCAGCAGCTCATCCAGCAGTCGTGTATTTCTACCTAGCTCGTACGTACTGCTTCTGTCCATGCATCCCCTGTTACGATCTTTGTTCTCGCACAGATTTATCTAGACGTTCACGACTGAACACATTGTGCTGCAGATTCATCTTGGAGGCGAGGAGAAAAAGAAGAACAGAAGATGAGCACCGCCAAGACGTCGTGGCCGGAGGTGGTGGGTTGGCCGGCGGCGCAGGCCGTGACTCAGGTCGGCACCGACAGGCCCGACGTCGCCATCGAGGTGCTCCCATACGGCACCAGCGTGGCCCCTGGGTTCAACGGAGAGCGGGTCCGTGTCTTCTTCGATGGGACTGGCAGCGTTGCCGGCACTCCATACGTTGGTTAGGCCCGCACCGCCATCGCCGTGTGTGTCGATGTTACCGGTTGACGGATCATATTGAAAGAGGGGTTTAATGTTACAAGGCCGGGTGTGTACTCTTGAAGTTCTATACTTGTATTGTCTCGATGTAATGTTTTAAGCTAATAAAATAGTCTCTCCGTCTCAAATTAGTTGTCACATAAATGGATAAAAATGAATGTGACTAGAACTAAAATATGTTCAGCTAGATACATCCATTTATGCAATAATTAATTCCGAACAAAGGGAATAGTACCTTTTACCAAAGAAAATATTTGAGTGGAGACTTTATGTTAGGAGCTGGTATAGTTGTAAACTTGTAATCGTACTGGGATCGAATGAACACAACAAATGTTGGTAGTTCAACACGAACTTATATATATTGGTATTATTTGTCACTTGATTTTACCGTATAGGTTCATACAGATGAATCCAATCCACGGTTTTTCTAGCTTAGAGCATCTCCAGCCGTTCGGCTCCCCAGTGGCTTAAAATAGCGTCGCCTGGGGCAACTGGCGATAAAATGGGCGTGGGGGTGGTCGGTTTCCCAACCGCCGCCCCGAGGTCGCCCTAGACACCGTTTTTTAAAAACCAAACTCGGTTAAAATTCGGCCAAACACGACACAAATTTGGAGAAATTTAGGCATTTCATCGATATTTGTACAAATTAAAGACATAACTTAAAAACAAACTAAAAACATCGACGACGACTACTACTACTACTACGCTACCGTCGCCGCCCGCCGCCTTCAACCTTCTACATGCCGAGGAGCCTGTAGAAGTTGTTGTAGTCGCCGCCATCCTTGTTGCACCCCTGACCCGTGTCGCCGATGCGTGGGAGGTTGGACGGCCCGGGTGCATCATCGTCGCTGTCGTCGAGGATGACGATGCCGCCCTCGTAGCGGCCACGGCGCCGGGCGGCGATCTCTTTGAGGGCGCGGTGCTGGCGCTCCATCTCCTGCAGACGTAGTCGTCCCGCGCCCATTTCAGGCCAGTCTCCTCGTCGGCGGCCATGGCCTCATGCTCCTTCACGGCGAGCAGCCCCGGCTCGGTCTTTGGCTTGACGAGGCGGGAGGAGAAGGGACACCATCCTGGTTGATGACGAGGGCGCTGCCGCGGGTGCGTCGCCCGAGCGGCGTCTCCCGTGGCTCTGACTTGATGGGGAGGAGCGCCGGCGACCCGGAGGAATGGGAGCCCGACGATGACGAGGATGCCGTCTTCATTCGCCTCGGCATCTAGGAGCTGTCGCGGCGGCGAGAGAAGGAGGGGCACCGGGTACTCCAACCGCAGCGAGTTGCCGCCCTCGATGTGCTCGAGGACTGCTTCGAGCGTGCGCCCGGGGATGCCCCACCATTGGCGCCGCCCGTCGGCGTTGAGGCGGCCGTGGGGCTCGACGCCGTTCGTGGAGGGGAGCTGGTCGGCGTGGCGGCCGTCGAAGTACGCCATCCATAGCGTGTGGTTGTCGGAGCGTACCTCGGCTGCTGTCACGCGTGCTTCGGCAACGACGATCTGATGCGCGTGATCTCTGCGCGGCTGTGGGCGGCGGCGGCACCGGGACTCCGCCGGCGCTGAGCCTCCACGAGCCCGGCACCCGCATGTCTAACGGCACCGGGTAGTGTGCCTCCTAGAGGAGGCGGGCTTCGTCCTCGTGCAGGTGGTGGCGGCCGATGCCATTGACCGCCGCTCTGTCGCCGGGGTAGCGCTCGGCCATGGTCGTCGGAGGAGGGACGTCAGCTGGGAGAGAAGGGAGAGGGGCGTCGACGGCGATAGGGCGAGAGGGGCATCTTCTGCGAAAGGGGGAGAGAGGCTGTGTGTGCGGCCACCGGCGAGGGAGGGGCAGCTTTTATAGCGGCCTGTGGGCGGCGAGCGGGCGGCAGTCGTGCGTACGTGTGGCAGGAGGGGGCGGTACGCGCGTCGACGCCTTCACTGCGTCACCCATGAGGAATCAATGGAAGGCTGACCGGCGGCAGCCTTCGCATTGATTCCCCACGAGAAAACGAGGCGATGAGGATGACGAACGCGCCTAGTCGCTGACTCGGCGGGTCCATCAGGCTTTTGCGTCAAAAATGTTTTCTCTGGCGCCCCCAGCACGTCGGGTTCGGTTTGGGTTCGCCGGCGCTAAATTCGGCCCTAACCGGCGAAAAGTGAACTTCTGGAAGCGCGACTGAGCCTTTTTTTCGCGCTAACGATAAGAAAAAGGCCTTAAAGGGGCCTGTTGGGGGGAGGGGGAGTGGAGATGCTCTTAGCCTCCAGCTTCATGCTTGATTACTTTGAATGGATTTTACCTGTCGTGCCCCTGACGCAAGACACGAGAGAAAAAAGTGTTCTATTTGAGTATTAATTACTCTCTCCGTCCTATAATATAAGGTAGTGTCAAAAAATATCTTACATTATGTGACGGGACGAAGGAAGTACCATACATTTGTACTGGTGGGAAAAAGAAACAGAAGCCAATTTCCATGACCCAAGAGAGTGCCTGGCCGATGCCATCCTTGACGCAGGCAGTGGCACCATCAAGCTTGCAGGTACGCCTCTAGCAAGCTGACCATGAGGGGAAAAAACATTAAGGAAAGGGCACTGTAGTTGGAAAAAGAAATAGCCGCTCAAGTGATAACCACGTCAAGCCGAAACTATTTGCAAACAAGGAGAAGCAAGTGACGGATTAGCATATTCTTTAATTCAACAACCTATTTTACACTAAAACCACCAGCAAGAATTAGTCACTATACTAATCTGATAATATCATATGTGATTAATCAAACACATTCGAAATTCCAACACTCATTGCAACTGAGACAAATGGCGCAGAAGCCCGAATCTGGCTGAAAAGTTGCTTGGTTATATCCACATGTTGGTACTCGTTCCATCGCCGTCGTACCTATGTAAGACATTATTTTTCTACTTGGGGATCTCAATTGTTCTCAAAATCAATCTAATTTCTTTAGGAAGAGATATCATTTCCTTTATATGGGCGGAGAAGGCTTGTTGCGCAGATATTAAAATTTAGTACCATCAAGGAAGCAAGACACAGAACCCATAAAACTCAGACCAATTCAATCTCGAAAGAAAAAAAACTCAGACCAGTACAAAACAAAATAAACTGTCAAATTCAAGTTGGGCCAACATAGTCAGTGCAGCACCGGTATAGCAGAACAAAAGAGGAAATTGTGTTGGGAACGTAGCATAAATTCAAAATTTTCCTACGTGTCACCAAGATCTATCTATGAAGTCATCTAGCAACGAGGGAGGAGTGGATCTACATACCCTTGTAGATCGCGCGCGGAAGCGTTCAAGAGAACGGGGTTGATGGAGTCGTACTCGTCGTGATCCAAATCACCGATGATCCTAGCGCCGAACGGACGGCATCTCCGCGTTCAACACACGTACGGAGCAGCGACGTCTCCTCCTTGATCCAGCAAGGGGGGAGGAGAGGTTGATGGAAGATGGCTCCAGCAGCAGCACGACGGCGTGGTGGTGGTGAAGCTGCAGTACTCCGGCAGGGCTTCGCTAAGCACTATGGAGGAGGAGGAGGTGTTGGAGAGGGAGAGGAAGGCACCAAAGGCCAAGGTAAGAAGTCCTCCATCTCCCCCACTATATATAGGCTGGCCTAGGGGGGCGGCCCTAGGAGATCCAATCTCCTAGGGGGGCGGCGGCCAAGGGAGGAATCCCTCCTCCCCAAGGCACCTAGGAGGTGCCTTCCCTCTTAGGACTCTTCCTTAGGGTTTCCCCCACCCTTAGGCGCATGGGCCCTAGGGGGAAGTGGCGCCCCAGCCCACTTTGGGCTGGATCCCTTCCCACTTCAGCCCATGGGGCCCTCCTGGATAGGTGGCCCCATCCGGTGGACCCCCGGGACCCTTCCGGTGGTCCCGGTACAATACCGGTGACCCCGAAACTTGTTCCGATGACCGAAACAGCACTTCCTATATATAATTCTTTACCTCCGGATCATTCCGGAACTCCTCGTGACGTCCGGGATCTCATCCGGGACCCTGAACAACATTCGGGTTACTACATATACATATCCCTACAACCCTAGCGTCACCGAACCTTAAGTGTGTAGACCCTACGGGTTCGGGAACCATGCAGACATGACCGAGATGACTCTCCGGTCAATAACCATCAGCGGGATCTGGCTATCCATGTTGGCTCCCACATGTTCCACGATGATCTCATCGGATGAACCACGATGTCGAGGATTCAATCAATCCCGCATACAATTCCCTTTGTCTATCGGTATGTTACTTGCCTGAGATTCGACCGTCGGTATCCCGATACCTTTGTTCAATCTCGTTACCGGCAAGTCTCTTTACTCGTTCCGTAACACATCATCCCGTGATCAACTCCTTGATCACATTGTGCACATTATGATGATGTCCTACCGAGTGGGCCCAGAGATACCTCTCCGTTTACACGGAGTGACAAATCCCAGTCTCGATTCGTGCCAACCCAACAGACACTTTCGGAGATACCTGTAGTGTACCTTTATAGCCACCCAGTTACGTTGTGACGTTTGGCACACCCAAAGCACTCCTACGGTATCCGGGAGTTGCACAATCTCATGGTCTAAGGAAATGATACTTGACATTAGAAAAGCTTTAGCATACGAACTACATGATCTTGTGCTAGGCTTAGGATTGGGTCTTTGTCCATCACATCATTCTCCTAATGATGTGATCCCGTTATCAATGACATCCAATGTCCATGGTCAGGAAACCGTAATCATCTATTGATCAACGAGCTAGTCAACTAGAGGCTTACTAGGGACATGGTGTTGTCTATGTATCCACACATGTATCTGAGTTTCCTATCAATACAATTCTAGCATGGATAATAAACGATTATCATGAACAAGGAGATATAATAATAACTAATTTATTATTGCCTCTAGGGCATATTTCCAACAGTCTCCCACTTGCACTAGAGTCAATAATCCAGTTCACATCGATATGTGATTAACACTCAAGGTCACATCCCCATGTGACTAACAC